GACTTGCTGGTAGTCTGGCCAATCAGCAAGCTCCAGGTGCAGTGACTGACCCTGCCATCCGGCATGTGTACAGAGTTGGGATGACAGATGGACAGGGTACTGAGTGGAGGATGAGCAGGGACTGGTGAGGACAAGAGTTCCTGAAATGTGAATTTTAGAAGCTAGGTCAGGACGTTTACAAAGGAAGGAGTGTCCCAGGCACCAGGGAGCTACTGTGGTGGCTTCAAAGACCCATGGCCCTTAGGGATGGCCGATAGCAGAGGTTTGCACAGGCTTGCTGGAGGCTGGGGCTTGCAGGGCTGGGCTTGGTGACAAATTGGAAGTCACTGTGCAGACAAATGACAATGGCTGGTGCCCTGGGAAAGGAAGCCAGAACCTAGAATGGCCACGCACAGTCTGGACTGCACCATGAGGAGTGGACTTCGTGGAAAATAGAGAGCCATGGAGGGTACGAGGCAGACAGGTGGCCACACCCAAAAACATATCCTGGCTCCAGAGTGGCATTTGGTGGTCAGGCTAAGAAACGGCTGCACTTGGAAGGCTTGGGGGGCAGAGGGGCTGAGCCTGGCATGGCAACATCACAGGGGTTCATGTGACTCAGGAATAGTCACCACAGCCGCGGGCAGCATTGAGTCACCACCTAGTGTATACATCAGCTGCCACTGTTGCCTGCAGTGGCTTACTCATCCATTTGGCCTGGAGCACGGGGAGGTGCAGCCCCACTCATGCTCAGTGAGTGAGCCACGGGGAGGGGCCCACGACCTACTTCCTCCAACACACGGAGCATAGAATGTCTACACTATCATCTATTTCCTGTGACCACCGAGTCAACTCACTCCCCACTCTACCCACAGTCCTCCAAGGCTCCAGCCTCCTTCAAAAGCCAGTCCTCTATGAAGCCCATGAGGAGGCTCTCTTTGCCCTGCCCAGCACCTCCTGCCTCCTTCTCTGCCACATCTGCTCCAGCCACACAGGCCTCTTCCCTGCTCCTCTAATTGCCAGGCTTTGGCATTGTTCCCCTCCTGGAGCATTTGCATGGCCTTTTGTCCACAGCTCCAGGGCCTTTGCACAGAAATCCCTGCCCCAGGCAGTTTCCGGAGTGAGGCGTTGTTTGACTAGGGTCAGGGTTTCTCCAAGCAGAATTTGGGACTACAGGAGCAAGGAGAAGCGTTTTAGATCTTTTTGAACTGGGGGAGGGGCGCTAACATTTCACTTCTGACCCCCAAAGCAGCCCGCAGAGGCCCCGGGAGTCTGCGCAGGCGCTGTGGTGCTTCAGCCAACCTGCAGCCAATGGCTGTGCTTCGCGATGAAGTAATGCCCGGATTCGTGTCCTGATTGGTCTCTGCGAGGCCACAGGCTTGTCCGCCGGGTAGGACTCGCCCCTTTGCAGAAGGGGCTATGGGAACTCTCCAGAAAGGAGAGCTTTTTATATTCAAGTTGTGAATTTCTGAGACCATGTCTCTGGTAGCCCAGGCTAGCCTCGGGCGCAGTGTGGCGCCCAGGCTGGAGTGGACCCCTGATCCTCCTGCCTCTGCCTCCCTCAGATGTGCTGGATGACACGTGTGCACCCTTATATAGCACCTACTGTGTGCCAACTCACCACCCCTGCCACCACACCCTGCACATTCATTGAGCACCTAAGGTGTGTCAGCCTGCCACTTAGTGGGATGCGTTGCCCTAACAGCCAACTGTGCAGTTTATTTTCTATTTTTAAAAGTTATTTGGTCTTTACACTTTATCCTATTAAGACTTTTTAAAATTACTATTATTTGTTGGGGCTGGGGCATGTGCGCCCAGCTGACTTGTGGAGGTCAGAGGACAACGTGTTCAAGTCAGGCCTCTCCTTCCACCTTGCCATGGGATCGAGCTCGGAGCTGGGGACGTTAGACTTTGCTCACTGAGCCATCTTGCTGGCCTTTGTCTTAATTTTAAATGACTTCAATTATTTTTGTTTTATTTTAGATTCATCTTTATTTTCCTTCATTTCATTTTGAATGAACACATTTTCCCATCATAGGCCAGGCTGGCCTTGAACTCATAATTCTCCTGCCTCAGCTTTTCCAGTGTGTGGAGCACAGATGTGAATTGCCCTGGAGGCCAGGGCAGGCAAAGTGGAAGACTGGGCCTCCTCTAAGGCACAAAGTTTAGGAAGTAGAAAATCCTGAGGTTTGTCTCACTTTGTTCTGTGATGTGGGGATGGGACCCCAGAATCTGCTGGGCAGTCGCTGACCACTGACTGTGGGCTAGCCTGGCCTTCAGGTTCAGACATTCCTTCACTTTGTGGGTCTTTGTGGGTTTGTTTTTGCATTGAGACAGTGTCTCTCACTGTAGACCATTCTGCTCTCAAACTCCCAGACATCCTCCTGCTTCTGCCTTACAAGTGCTGAGACCAAAAGAGAGGCAAATATGCCTGGCTTTAAACGTGCCTGGCTTTCACTGTTTTTTGAGGCAGGATGTCACACAGCCCAGGCTGGCCACGAAGTCTACACAGAAGTGATGACTCAGCCCTCATGACCCTCCCTGGGTGTCTTGTAAGCTCCAGAGTGCTCTACACACACACACACACACACACACACACACACACACACACACACACACACACGAACAAGAAGAATTTGTATCCTGGAACTCGGTGCAGCACTGAACACCCAGTAAAGCACCAAAGACCCAGTGCAGTCCCCCAAACTCTGCTAAGGACCTTGAGTATCGACAGTTGCATCATATTCCAATGTATGGGTAGAGTGAGGGGTAAACTCATGCACACGGTGTTTTGGGAGCAGCTATTTGCTGGTCCAGGTTTTATGTGTGAGGAAACTGCCCCAGGGCTTCATCCGCTGGTAAGGCAGGATTTAAGGATTCAGTTAGATGGGACAGTTGCAAATGAGCAGAGCAGAGCAGAGCAGGGAGGGAGGGAGGCAGAGAAAAACAGAGGGAGACAGACAAAGAAAGCCAAAGAGAGCATGCAGCACACACACACACATACACACACACACACACAGAGAGAGAGAGAGAGAGAGAGAGAGAGAGACAGACAGACAGACAGACAGACAGATGACAGACAGAGACACTCCTCAGTCCTCCCCCTAGGGCTTTTGCTCCTGCCCCCAGGGTGCCAGTGAAGCTTGGTAATGATCCCTGTATCTTGGACACCGCTTTGTCCCCAGCATAGTGCTCGGACACAATAGGTCCTCAATAAGACTAGAAACACAATGCAAAATGCGAATTCATGAAACAAGAGGAAAAACCCGCCCGCATCTCCGCGGCCCACCACAGTGGTGCAGATAGAGATATTAGGGGAGGAAGATCCGTGAGCCCCCCGCCCCCTTTTAATTATCCTGTTGACAAGACTCAGGATCCCGCGCTTGTCAAGGTGGCATCTGAGAGGACGGTTCCCTTTAGCGACGCTGACAGCTAATTTGTGGGAAGTTTAATTACAGGCGGCGTTAATTAACTGGCAAAGCGCTGGGCGAGGACGGCGGCCATCTGTTCCGAAGATGTCCTCCCCTTCTGGGCCTGGCTGGGGGCCGGGGGGGGGGGGACAACATGGGGAGAGGGAGAAGGGGGAGGAGGGAAGGATAGCACGGGAGGAGCCAGGAGGAAGTGGGTGGGAGGTGAAAGGAAGGAGGGACAGGAAGAAGGGGGACCCCCTTGCAGCAGGGTCCTCAGAGGGTGCAGACAGGGGCTGGGGTGAGTGCTTGGCCTCCACCGTAGCTGACTCTACCCGGAAGGGGTAAGACTCCCATTAATCACCTCCTCAGGGAGATCCTGTACCTAAAGCACCCCAGAGCCTCCCACCTGGGTCCCAGGATCGTTGCACACTCTACATGCCCCGACTCCTGGGAGCTCCCAGAAGCCCTGGCTTTCCTTAGCCTTGAACCCCAACCTGGGGATTCCCGAGGGTGCCTCTCTGCATAGACCGAGCCAAGGTAGCCTTGACACTAAGTTCAAATCCAGTCCCCTTCTGCCTAACCATAACCCTGGAAGACTCAGTTTCCCTTTCAGACAAGGGTGTCCTAGGACCCCGGGGGCCCAAACGAGGCTGGAACAAGCGACGCCTTTGTCCTGAAGGCTGCCCGTGGTCCCCGCCAGAGTCGTGTCACCACAACCAGCACGCTGTGCAAAGCCTCAGTTTCCCCCTTTGCCCCTCCGCAGGCGAACACAGATGGCGCTGCCTAGTCGGGCAGGAAGGGGCCCCCGCCGGAGCGGAGGTGGGGAGCTGGCATGGGTGCCCCAGCAGCTGGGACTCTTGGCAGCCTGTGGCAGCCGGAGGCGGCTGGACACGCGCCCGGGCTCGGGTGGAGGACAGAGAGTCTGCGACAAAGTGGGGGACCCCGCTTACAGGAGGGGAACCCCGTGTGCACTTACCAGGCGCTTGCTGGATGCAACAACCACCTGCTCATCCCCAGCCTCCAGGACAGTCCCACTGCTGGCTTTCATCACTCTACAAATGCTGGCCACTCACCCAGGCCTTTACTCATACTGTGAAAACTCAGTCATCCTTAGACTTGTGACGTAGGTGTCATTGCTGAGTCCATTTTACAGATGGGGAAACTGAGGTCCAAGGAGGCAAAACAGTGTAGTAGACTGCCAGCCTGTCTCAGGAGGCCCCTGTTTAAAGTCTCCCCCTCTCCCCGTCCCCCCCACCTGGTGCCCCGGGGAAGGGCAAGGAGTGGCTATTCTGGGACGTGGCAGCGGGGCTATGATGGGGCGGGGCAAAAGTAGTAGTGGTTATGCTTGCCAGGGAGTGGCTATGATGGAGTGCAGCGGGAACAAAGCTGAAGACAGGGCTCGGTTATGCTTAGCAGGGGGTGACTATGCTGGGACGCGTTAGACAGAGCGCGACTGTGCCGGGACGAGGAAGGCAGGGGCATAGTTATTCCGGGGCGGGGCAAAAAGGGGGCGAGACCATACTCGGTGGGTGGACGTTGGGGCGTGGTTATTCTGGGGGAGCGCCTGGGAAGTTCTATTTCTCAGTGCAGTGCGGTAAAGCGGGAACTATCCAGATTCAAACACACTTTATTGGGCACTATCCTCCCCCCCGCATTCCCTTCCTAGTGTCCGTCCCTTTCCGCATTAGTTGGGGTCAGGAGGGCTCGGGGGTCGCTTCTGACGGCTCCTCGTTCTCGGCCACCCCCAGGGACGTGGTGCTGCTGCAGCGACGGCAGGGGACTGTACGGGCTAGCAGTTCAAGCCTGCGGGAGCGCAGCCGGGCCTGGATGGCCCAGATGGGCGGGCGGTGCCCGGGCAGGGGCGGATCGTCGCCGCCCACGCTGCTGTCCGTAGAGCCGTCGTGCGTGCTAGCCACCGACTGCTTGCACAGGGGGCATGAGCGCCGTGTGGCGCGAGAGAACCAGGGGTCGATACAGCGACAGTGATACGCATGCGCACACGGCAGGATCTTGAGCAGCTCTCCCTCTTCATAGTCGTCCAGGCAGATGGCGCACAGGTCGCTGAGGCGCGTGAACGTGCGCACCTGCGCCTTCTGACACGTCTGCGTTTTCACCGCAGTGCCCCGGCTCCCCCAACCCCGGACCCACGGCCACAGCTGCCTCAGCACGAACAGCGTGGACGCGGCCAGGGCCAGGGCTCGGGCGAGCGCCCAGGACGCAGCCACGACGGGGTGGCACTCGGGATCTGGACACGGCCCGCCGTGGGGCAGCAGCACGCGTGCTGGCCTGTCGCAGCGAACAGTCACCTCCAGGTCGTCGTACACGCTCAGCTGCCCTGGGGCCTCAGTGCTCGCTGAGGCTGTTGTGGCTCCAGCCGTCCGCAAGCGCCTCCCGGTGCGATCCCACGAGCAGCCCAGGGGCCGGACAAGCACGAAGGGGTCCAGTGAGCGGTTGTTGGGTTCAGGGCCCTCGATGGCAAGGCACACATCGGCCGGCCTGGCTACCAGTAGGCAGCTAGGTGCGCTCTGGAGGTCCAAGGGGACCCCAAGAAGCGCCGGGAGCTCCGAGAAGTCCACGGAGCTCAGGTTAACCTGCACATCCGCGGACGACGGGGACAGGACCAGCCAGAGGGCCACCAGGGCCACCGGGACTACTCGGGCCCACGCCGACCGATCCATGGCCGCTCCTACCTCCAGCTGTCGCATGCTGCCAAGTCCCATGAGGGACAGCACAGGAGACCCTCGGACATCTCCGGAGCCACCCGGGGAGCCGGTGGCCGGGTGGGAGCGGCGCCTGCTGTGGCCAGACTCAGGGCCTCAAGCGGAAGTGGCTCCTGGGGACAGCGCAGTCCGCATGGTGTCCAGGAGACCAGCTCTGAGGATGACACCTCAGGTTTCTAGAAGCTTCACATCTCTGTGACGTCATTGTTACGCATGCCCAAGACCACTCAGCTGTGCTGTGCATACTCCTAGCTGGTGGAATATTAGTAAACCCTGACTAAGGTCATTCCCAGAGGAGCCCATGGGATGTGCTCCATGTGACATCAGTTATGGGAAGGGGAAACTGAGTCTAACTTGGCATCCGGGCACAAGGGTAGAATTCAGGGACTTCAGGAACAGGAAAGGGGATTCCCTGCTGTTCTGTCCACAGCAAAGGTGCTCGCTCAGTCACCCCAGGGGGGGATGAACCTTGTCACCCTACTCCCAGGCCCCCTGTCAGCCCTGGGTTCATGTGACCACAGGGACCGCAGTGTCTCTACCTCAAAGGATAAACAACCCATGAATACAGGAGCTTCTGTTTTGGTGAGAGGACACACCCTCCCATTTGCACAGACTAAGAAGGAGCCCCCACTCTGGGCACCTTAGAGTCGGATCCTGATCCACTCTTCTGCTTTGACATTAGTGACCCGTCATCTCCTTTGCCAGGGACACTTTGCAGCTATGGAGAGTGGATGCTGCTACAATAGAGGACTGTTATTCTAGCCGGGAGCTCTTCAATAAAACTGAAACAAGGTGCTGCCTTCTGCCTCCCTCAAACTCGATGACTGGTTTCCCACTTACTGCGCCACCCTTGGGAAGGCCCTGCCCCCTCTGGCCCTTGCTCCCTGTCCTCTGTGGTAATTCTGTAATTCTGGGTATAGCAGAGTAGGGTGCGGGAGGAGCCATCTTTGGGGGGAAGCATGTGACCATGGCATAAGGACTCCTGACCAGGGTAGTATAGTTTGGTTAATGTCTGGTGCAGTTAGTGCTCCTGCCATAATCGGCTGTGATTGACGTTCAGAGACAACAGCATGCCCAGCCTCTGCTCAGGTGCAAAGGAAGCGGGACTCACTCCTTTTTCAGCATCACTGCCCTTCAGCCTTCCCAGTCAGCTCCGCAGGACTGTGAGGAGAGCCTGACGCAGTCTGATTATAATGAGGGAAGGCCAGTGCTTCTGTGTAGTTGGTTATCTGTTGTTTTTATGAGACAGGGTCTCACTATGTAGCCCTGGCTGTCCTAGAACTCACTGCGTAGCCTAGGCTGGCCCAGAACTCACAGCGATTCTCCTGCCTCTGCCTCCCTCCCAAGCGCTAGGGTTAAAAAAGCATGGGTCACTGGACCAGGTTTTCTCTGGCGTCATAGGGTCTATCCCAGAGATGGATGGACCGAGAGAAAGAGGGTGGGGTTTAGTGGGACAAACCTGTCACCCCAGCACTCAGGAAGCTGAGGCAGGGGCATTGCCTGGAGTTCATAGCCGGTGTGTATAGTCAAGCCCTCCCTGTGGCAGATAGAGAGGCAGAGAAAGGGGGTAAAGGAGTCTGGGGTTCCAGAAGCCCCTTCTCAAGGACACCCCCAACCTAGAGCCCCCCCTCCAGGCCCCACCCCTTTAAGGCACCACCACCTGCCAATGATCCTACCCACCCAGCAACAGCACCTGGGCCCTTTGCCCAAAGGTACTACTACCATGTGACTCCAGAGTTGGTGGGGTCTCATCTCTCCCAAGTGACTAACAAAGGTTCTCACCCACTCCGCCAGTGGAGAGCACATATTGAGCAACAACTACATAGCTGGTCCAAGGCCTGGGCCATGACACCTGTCAATCTCAGTATCATTGCTCTCTGCTTGGACTCTGAAACCCAGGCTGACCTTGAAGTCATAGCAATCCTCCTGCCTTACAGTCCTGCATACAAACCCAGGCTGAGGCTGACCTTGGAGTCCCTGGCCCTCTCCCCACCCTCTTACCTAGACAGAGTCTTAATCATTGGCTGGGCTGCCCTTCGAGGTTCAGGGACCTCAGTGCTGGGTGTGAATTCTAGGAATTCGAACCTAGGTTCCTGAACTTGGGCAGGAAGCACACAGTGGTGTGCAGGGGCATGTGTGTTTGCGTGTGCACTGATGCTAGGCAGAGCCAGGAAGAATGTGGAGATGATGGGAAATGGAGGCAGGATCAGCAGAGGGACTGAGTCCTCCCAGGGGGGGACAAACTGTTCCCAGAGTCCCTCTCATAATTCTTGGGAAGTGTGAACTCAGCATGTGCAAAGGTCTTGGAGTCCAGCCCAGCACCAGTACCACCAAGAAAAGGGCACAGAATTGCTTATACCAGCACTGGGAGAGCTGAGACAGGAGGATTGCTGAGAGTTCCAGACCAGTCTGGGCTGCAGATAAAAACCCTGTCTTAAAAAAAAAAAAAAAAAAAAAAAAAAAAACCAGGTGACTTGCTGGTAAGTGGAGACACAGCTGCTTGGCCATTTGGCCACCCTGCTGCGATGGGGTGGGGTGGGGTGGCAACCAAGCACGATATATATCCTGTAAGTTTAAAATTATTTCACAACAGAACAATTTTAAATGCAGAAATCTTTAGAGGAAAAAAAAAAAAAACCTGGGGGAAAGCAGCTGGAGAGAAGGGCGGGGATATAAGACTTGGAGTGAGGAGGGCAGAGGATGCGGCTGTCAATCAGAGGAAAAGATCAGGGAGTCACAGAGGTGACATTATCTTTGCCTGTTCTATTAGCCAGAAGCAAATCCACTCTTGCTCACACTCACAGGGAAGGAATGCAGGAATTGGGAGTCACTGTGCCACCGTGGGGTCTACAGACAAACGGAGGGTGGGGCTTCCAATGGACCTTGGCCCTGACTGGTACCTTAGGAGGGAAGATAGGACAGAGGAAGGAGACCAAGGAGTTGAGGAAGATGGGAAGTGGTGGGCAGGAGAGGATAGAGAAATTGACTCTATACTCTGTGGGTGGCCCACTTCCCCAAGTCACCCACCCCACAAGAAAGACCAACCGAGGAGTCTCCCGTGGGTGCCTAGCACAGACGTTCTCAGACTATGGGATGTTGGCAGTGGCAGGAGAATTTCTAAGGAGTCCTCAAGATGCTGTCACCAAGCACAAGAAAGGTGTAGGGTGACAAGTTCCATCCCTGCTTGAGATGCTGAGGAACATTGATCTCCTGGTGCTTAACAGAGAAGTAATAAACTGGGGCGTGGCTAGGAGAGAACACCCAGTGTGAGGCCAGGATGCAGCCTCAGGACCCAGGCTGAAGCAGGAGGATCAGGTGTTCCAGGCCAGACTGACCCTGCTACTCGTGTGTTTGTGCTTCAATGCTTTCCATCCACTTTCAGTGAGGTGTGATTATCTTCCTTGGCAAACACTTAGGGAAACTGAGGCAGGCACCACATAAGCAGCTTGGTGAACATGGTGCTGGTTAGGAGGTCAAATGTAAACAGAGGGTAGTACATGGTTCCTCTCTCACATCATTATGTCCAAGCTGAGTTTTGCAGTCCAAGACTGGAGGAGACCAAGTGGCCCTGCACCTCTTTCCACCTATGGGAGCTGGGAATGAGATGAAGCTCTAGCAGAGCTACATCCCCAGTCCCTCCTCCCCCCCACCCCACCCCTGCACTGCGGAATTCTGGGCAGTGCTCCACCCTGATCACGCTCCCCCTACCCCGACCCCAGGGAGTGCTGCTGGAGGATTGGGGTCAGCTGGTCTCCGAACAAAGCTGGAGGAAGCATTCTTCCCCTCGCCCGGCAGGACCCTCTGGGAAAGGCGCCAATTAAGAGCAAATCAATTAAGCAAACTCTGCTCTGGCTTAGCCCTTAACACTGTGCCCTCAGCCTCCCTAACTGGAAACAAATGCATTTGTGGTCAGAGTTGAGGGGGCATCCGGACTCTCCAGACTGAACTCTCACTGGCCCCAGGGACATGGAGCCAGTTACCTGATCCAACGGAGTGGAGGGGGAACCTGTGAGGAAACACTGTGGAAGAGCCAGTCTGTTCCTGAGGACCAGCTACAGTGTGACAGGAGTGTGAGCAGCGCTGTGGGAAAAGAAGGCTATAATTTGCCCATTTTACATGTCAATCAAGAGCCCGAAGTAGCTGTAGCTTTGTGGCATGCTGTCTGGGCGATCTGATATTTGAAAAAGGAAAGATGGAAATTCAAGCTCCCTGTGTGGGGCTCAAAACCCACAGCCATCTCTCTCCAGGGTCTCTGCAGGGTACCTGGACCACAGCAAACTCAGGAGTCACTATGTCATGGACTTCCCAATTACAACCTTATCAACATGGATAGCTTCTGCATAACAATTATTTGACACAGCTATATCCACACTGCGACATACCCAAAGACATTGACAGACTCTTGCAACAGTACTTGTGTTCCAGTGAAATCCAACTGGCCTGAGGCTATGAGAACAAGTGCAGGCTCATGATTGTATGCCAAATAGATGTAGCAAGGGTTTGTTACCCAGCAGGAACTGACTGTTACATGTATACACCTTAAGACTGCGTTTCCTGGCTTCTGAGATAGTTAAATTACAAGGGACTTCAGGACTGGATGTGGTCAACAGGAAATGACCTGTGTCACTTGCATGTTAAAGTTCTGGAGTCAAGTGCTATGGGCCAGACCAAAGCACCATGATGAGCATGCTTGTGTGCATAAGAAAGGATCCCGTGCTGTTAGCCTTGGACACATGAGCCAGTTTGTTACTAATTGGAGATGGGATCTTGTGGCTCAGGACAATCCTCCTACCTCAGTCTCCTGAGTGTCAGGATGATGCCAGAACACCAGCATGGCAGCCATGATGCTGTCTTCTCCACATACTGCACACCTTATCCCGACACACTGACACTAGCACTAACTACATTTTACAGAAGGAAGACTTGGGGGGAATCCAAAGAAGACAGAGGCTCCCCCAGAATCGCTCTATTGAGTCCCTGTCCCAAGGCTTGGAGCCGACACCCAGCACCCTGCCACCAGTCCAAACTCAAGCTAACCAAGGCCACTTGGTCCCAGCCCAGCTCCAGGGGAACCTGTTTGGTAAAAAGTCTTCTCACGTGCCCCTGTCAACAGAAGGATGACTGCCGAGCCCTTGACTTGGGTAATTAGGAGCATTCTGAGACGCCCTGCTTG